CTGCTTTTGTGGGGGTGGGTAGGGGTGTTAAATAATAATTTTTCTGTTGTTGTTGTTTTTCCCCCATAGGTTTTTAACATTCTAAAAGCTCTTTATTCCAAAAGATACTACAAGCTAGTCAGTGTATTCAGTAGGTGTAATGTATTTTAAGTTGCTTCAGAGGTATTGCAAGTATTACATACAACAATAATAAAATTGCATTGACGTAAAAAAATCTAATTTACTTTTGGTACTTAAGTACTTTTAAAAGCAAGTACTTCTGTACTTTTACTTAAGTAAAAATCTGTCTTTACAACTTTTACTTGTAATGGAGTAATATTTGACCAGCAGTATCTGTACTGTCACTCAAGTAATGGAGTTGTGTACTTTGTCTGCCTCTGCTTAAAGTCTAGTAATGTTGAAGTAATGACTACAAGCTGATTGTGCATAGATAAGATCCCTGAAGTTGCAAATACTAAAGTCACAAACCCAAAGAAATATTCTTTATCAAAGTTAAGACTCTGCCACGCCCCCCCTAAAACGGCTCGTTCTAACACGCCCCCACATATCTACCTCACTATGTGGAAATATTTGCATAATGCGCCCAAATGTGCACGCAAAGAAAGAAGGCGTGGTTTCAGTAACCGCAGTTAGTGTTGAAGCAGCATGTCAGGGAGACGCTGTGTGTTTCTAGGCAAAAGCAAAAGCACTTTATTTAGCCTTCCGAAAGTAGATGCATTTAGAAATCTTTCAGATTACTTAGAACAGAACAGCAATGCATTTTATGGACGACCGTTTCGTGAACCTAGGAGAGGAGGTAATTCTGACTTTGCTATGACAATCTGGCGCTTCTGAATCAGCTACTGTTTTGTTATTAGTTTAAGTATTTGCTATTGACTGTTCAAACGCGGAGTTTTGCGCAAAATAATGATCTTTAAAAAAGCATCATATGACCCCTTTAAAGTCTAGTAATGACGCTCCGTTTTCTCCAGTTACAAACTACAAAAGTGAACGATGCCTAGTGTTTTAAAATCTGTTCCAATTTTAAACGTCATATAATGTATAACAGCCAAAATGAGAATAAATGTTTCACCAACATTAAGACTTTCTGTTATGGCCTTTTGTACGTTGTTGTCTTCCTGCTGTAGTTTCTGGGAAGCATTGTTTGCTTCTTGAGCGCTAAGTCTCATGGCCAGGTTCAGCATCTCTTCTTCTGTCATGTCTGAAATCACAAGTAGAAATCACAACAAAAACAGGTCTGAAATGAAATGCACACCTAATTTTCCAGGCAAAATTAATGATTTGTTGTGAGTTACAGTACCTCGTAGTTGAGATTTATTCTCCCTTCGTTTCCACCGGGTGGTCCGAGAGGACCTTTTAAGTGAGCAATCTTCCTCCTGAGGATATAAAGGTCAAATTTCAAGTTGGTCTATCATTCCTAATAATCCTTTACTATTAAAATGTACCATAAACTTTCATAGTTAAAGGGGCTTCTTTGGAAGATTCAATGGAAGACATTTTTTTGCAGTTCCATTTCGTGATGTTATAGGAACAGAAATTAGCACAACATACCCAATACTGAATATCTAGAACTAACAGTGAAATGTATTAGAAACAATTATTACCATGGTAATTATTTAGGAAAAGTTGTTGCTGTGCTGTCCCATTTAGATGACTCTTAAACCACACAGAAACCTTTAAACGAAGCCAAACACATAGTATGTGGTTGTCCACTGTAAACACAGTAACGTTACCTCTTCATTTTCAGAATCAGATATGACCAGGGTCTCTTCGTTGTGCTCCACTCTGCCGACTTTCGCTCTTCTTCCGCCTTCATCCGTTGTGCGCTTCCGGCGGGGCATCCTGCCGCGACCTCAACAACATTAATTCTCTCTGTGTCCACCTCTAAACACACTCTCTGAGACTCTTAACTGCTCCTAAACTTTTGCTGAACACGTTCGATGTTCATTTTCGATAATACAACGTTAAGTTCGGTCGGTCAAAGGCTCGAAAAACAAGGACTTCGATTCCAAGCTATTTTCACAAGCGGTTGTCATATCACGTCACGTGACATGAGGGACAAGGAAAGACGTTACGTCACAACCGACAGCGCGCGAACCGGCACGATTTTTTTTTTGTTTGATGGGAAGTTCGAGTCATTTCCGCGAATCGGTTTGTTTCAAAGAACTGGTTCAAAAGCGATTCAATGATTCTTTTACGTCATTACAACATTTTTATTTACATTTATTAGGTTTTAAAGACAACGTTAATCCAAATAAGAATGCGATATTAACTACATAAAAATAAATTATATTAAAATTCAATTGCATTACTAACATATAGGGTTTTAATAACAAAATAGGGGTTTAAAACGCCACTAAATTTGATGGATATAAAATTTAAGTCATATGTAATATCAATAAATTTTAAGTCATATAGTCACCTTCTTTGTTTTCTTTTTTTTAATTAAGGATGTCCATTGTAACTTCATGTGTCACAATTTGAAGCCAAAATTCAGCTCACAAAACTTTGAACTAGATAAAAGTCATTTCGAAACTAAATTGAATTTACACTTACAACAAAATTGTTGTTCAGTGAGTTGTTAGCTCGGATTCAAACCCATTCCTGAACGGATTTTGTGAACAGTGTTGGGGAAAGTTACTTTTAAAAGTAATGCATTACAATATTGCGTTACTCCATAAAAAAGTAACTAATTACGGTACTTAGTTACTTTTTATGGAAAGTAATGCGCTACGTTACTTTTGCGTTACTTTTTAAATCTGGACAGGGCTTGCTTGTTTGTTTTTAAAATAAAAAAGTTCTATTTTTGGCAAATATAAAAGCCTTTTCACACCAAAAGTGAAATGAATAAGCCTCAGGCTGAAGGAAATGTAAATTTGCGTCCGTACAGTAGAATGCAGAAGAAGAAATTTCAACACACTTCAGCAATAAAAAAGACACAAATGTTTGTCTAGAGTAATTTGTGCTCATTAGTACGGTTGAACTGGATCATCGAAGGTCAGAAGCAAAGACATTGGTTAATAGAATGGGATTAAATACATAAAGCATATTTGTGTTGTTTAACATTTAATTCTTGCAGGTTTACGTCATATTCTGAGTTGCATTATTTTTATTCATTTTGAGGAATACTGAATCTGTGTTTTTTTGTGAGTGAGATTAATTAATGCATATTCATATTTATTTTAGAACTACAGTAACATCTGATTTCTCTCAACATGGGGACAGGAGAGCTGTCAGTCAATAAATTGGGGGAAAAAAGTAACTTGCGTTACTTATTTGAAAAAGTAACTCAGATATGATCTTGTAAATTAAAAAGTAATGCATTACTTTACTAGTTACTTGAAAAAAGTAATCTGATTACGTAACTCGCGTTACTTGTAATGCGTTACCCCCAACACTGTTTGTGAACCGGTTCACGGAAAGATTCGACTCCACAAAACGATTCATTCACGAACCAGACGTTGCTCTTAATCACGCCAAAAAGATAAAAGATTTGCGGTGCAAATAATTACATATTACTGTCAAATCATACGCGAAATTAAGTGTTCATTTGTGCATTAATAACACTTAAAACTGGTAAAATGCCAGTTGGGAGATTAAACGTAATTTAAAAGAATGCCAACTTCACTTGCCAGGTTAGAAAGTAACGATTCCTTTAGCAAAACAAACCAACTCGCATAGCAACAAGACACAGGACCCTTACGTCATCTGCATTGCTTAGTGGTTGCGTAGACTTGTATAGAAATAATTTTGTGAAGCATGTAGGATAAATGGTTCACACATTTGTTTGTAAATAGAATAAAAATGGGTTACGGGATATATGAAGAGACTTGTGCGGCGCATGTAACGACTGCGCATGCGCGAGATCCGCCTCCTGCAAACATCATGGCGCAGCAAGAGCCGAATGGAGATTTTCCATATTTACCGTCAGGGGCGGCCGGGGGTAAGAGATAGGCGACATCCATTCTGCATAAATGGTGTTACATTCGATGCATTATTTATAAGCAAAACATGACATTTATTCCGAGAGTGTACAGTGCCTGAGAGTGTGAGGGAGTGTAAAGCATGGTAGCATAGCTCCTCAGTGCTCTTAGGACTGCTGCTATAGTGTCTAGGAAGAACAGCGTATCCAAGGTCGATGTAAGACATAGTCTGATTTTTTTGCACCTAAATGCAAAGAAAGTCTATTTTAGGTTTGATTTGAGCGTTGCATACTTTGCCTCAAAGCTGTTTTGTATGCGTGTCTTTTATATAACAATGAAATGCCGCTTTGTAGTTACTTTTTCTGATGCTGGTCTTTCTTTCAGTGAACCGAATGATAAAGGAGCACAGTGACTTGTTCTCTGATTCTCAGTGTAAAGTGTGTAGCGCTGTCTTAATCTCAGAATCCCAGAAACTTGCACATTACCAGGTATGAATTCACAACTCATATGAACAAAGTTTAAATGATCGCATCATTTCCTTTGGTTCTCAGCCAATACAGTACAAAACGGGGTTTTGGGGACTAGATACTGATTTCAAGTAGTTCAGAATACTAGCATGCTACTCATACTACTTCTGTAGTATGCTCTGTTTTTATGTATGCTTGCTTTGAATACCCAGACTAAAATCTACAGTATAGGCTTGCAACCCTTACGAAAATTAACCTTGGTTTTACTTCAAATTAAACCAAAAAAACCATGGTTGCTATAGTTAAACCATGGTAAGCACAAATGAACCATTGTCTTGCTACACTAACCACAGTTTAACCATTAAAAAACTGTGGTTGTACAAATGGTAATCAATGCGCCAAAAAAACATGGCTACTACACTTTTACTATAGTAAAAACATGGTTATTTTAACAGAGAAAAGTGCTGGGTACTATCAGAGACCGAATATAGCAGAGGCGAGCCACTTGAATTTCAATAAATGAGAGAAATTTGTGTTCACAATATGACAGTTCTAGTAAACAAACTCTCATGACAGAATAAATAAGTAGAAGATCTCCCAAGATGGTTGCCCAGTAAGCTGGCCTCCCTTAAAAGGGACAGTATTGGATATTGTGGGTATTGGGACAGGCCTGTGTGGGTACCAAGTCAGTCTGTATCCCACAATGAAGTGTGCTCAACATCACCTTCCAGTTCCAGCATTTTATTACATCCCCCATGCTTTTTTAACATCTGCTCAGCTCATTATTTGATCAGAGACTGTCAAAATGTAAGACATTTTTACCCAAACGTTGATTAAACATGCTACATTTATTCCCAGCATGATAACTGACTATTGGTAAATAAAGCTTGGAAAATGTTTCATGACAATTATCCCATGACAAAAGCACTTTACTAAATGTCATACCTTCTAATGTACATTTTTTTTGTCTCTTGTAGAGCAAAAAACATGAGAGCAAAGTACGCCGGTACATGAGCATTCATGGTAATGAGGAGCCCATCGCAAAACGGTTCAAGCCTTCAGGTGATGTAAGTCAGATAAATAGCCGGATGTGATGGAGACTTATTGAATATTGGATCACAGATGTGTTTGTGTCCTGCATTAATGGCTAGTGTTATGTTTTGCAGACCATTAATGTCGACGAAGGGGACAAATACAAAGCCTGCAATGTGTGCAACATGACATTCTCGTCCCCAGTAGTGGCACAGTCACATTACCAGGGCAAAGTTCACTCCAAGAACCTTCGCTTGAAGACCTTTGGTCAGCAGACTCCTGGTAAGAAGACTTGATTATCATGATATTTAGTGCTTAAAATCCTGGAATTATCAGAATGAGATGTACACTTGTAAAAACAAGTTAGACTTGCTCTGCGATCAGTTCTTTTGTACTGGGTATTTTCGTAGTGCATTATACAGTATTCCTAGGTTTCATTTTTAATAACATCTAGGTATATTGTACACCACAAATGCAAAGCAATTGATCATATTTTCTGATTTCACATCTAATAGTTTAGACTTATAAAAAATAGGATCGAAATGTTAAATGATGATGATAATGCATATGCATTCCATTCACACTGAAGAGCTGACCTGCTGTGTTTTTGCTCATATTCCAGCATTACCTCAGCCCAAAGCGCAGGTGAAGAAGGATGAAGGGCTACCTGAAGGTGGGCAGGGGCCAGCAAAGCAGGACCCCAACCGCTTCTGCTCCATCTGCCAGGCTTCCTTCAACAATCCACTCATGGCTCAGCAGCACTACAATGGCAAGAAACATAAAAAACACCTGACTAAACAGAAGCTGATGGAGACCTATGGGCCGTCCTCTGCACCAGGTCAGAACATAGAAGGGGGTCTCACATCCCATATGTAGAACTTGATGTGGGAATTACATCAGTAACACACAGCCAGAAGTTACCCTTTTATGTAGTAATATACTAATTTATATAAATTAGTATAATAATTCATATACAAATTATTAAACCAATGATGTGCTTTAACAAAGGTGCACACTTCACAATTCTGTGAATGTTCAACTGCATTTGCAAACTTACATTGTAAGTATAGTATTCTAAAAAATTCATCTAAATGAATTATGGTTGTCAACTACAGTTGATTTAACTTCAAATTTATCTCGAACAACTGAACAAGTTGCACAGAACATAAGGAATATCATTGACCATGTTTATATGCACCTCAAATTATGTTTAAAATCTGTATTCGGGTTGCAGCTATATTTCAAATACAGTGTGTTTATGCATACAGTAAGGATTTCTGCGATGCAGATGGAATCACAGAATCCAGTCACAAATATGGGACTTGCAGTATAATGCAGAATGCCGTGGAATTTGGCTAATTTTGGGTGAATAAATCACAAGTAGGCTATACAGTGAATTAAAACACAATATGTACTGGTGTCTGTGAATATTAAAGTACAAAAACCGTTTGAGGCAAGTGGCAACATTGATCTGTCACGCAAAAATTGAACAATATCGGAACTGTATTTATTGTGTAAATTTGAATGTACATGTACATGTAATGTAAATGTGCATACCAAAATTTTCATACCAAAAGCTTATTACGCATCATCAGAAAACAGACTAAAAAATGGATCTTTTGAATGTTGGTTCATCAAAGATCTGTTAAAATCACTTCATCACAGTATTGTCAGCACAGCCCTAGTTATAGCCAGCCACTTATGTATAACACTTACTCCATTTTAACCTTGAAACTGAGGATTTGTGGTCACTTTGTTGTATTTGTCGCAATTTTTATCAGCCTCCACACTGAAGGGCTACCCATGTACTGTGTGCGATATTGAACTGAACTCCGTGGAGCAGTACCAGGCCCACATCAGCGGTTCCAAACACAAGAACCAGTGAGTAACTCATGCTGCTTTAAGCAGCCTTCTCGAAAAGATTTCCTCATCTTATTGGTCGACTAATAACATATTCCCCTATTTGACAGTGGCAGACTCAAGAAAGGGCCAAATGCATTTCCCGGCCCCCCTGAGAACTACCAGCCCGATTTCCAGTATCCACCCAACCAGGAAGGACCAGAGGATGCGGGGGACTGGGACAGCTTCAACGAGGGCTATGAGTGAGAAGACGCTGTCAGACTCCGCTGCACTCTTCTCATTTGTGACAAGCTTCTTCTGTTTAGGCACAGGTCAATGTGTGTCTGCACTGTGCATCTCCTAAGGCCAGCTTTTCACCACACTACATCTCTTCCCGTCTAATCTTGTCACTCTCACACACAGTTGAGGGACCACAATAAACGTCGGAAAAAATCGAAGGCGAGGAGGCAAAACTTAAGAGTGCTGCTTTTTTCCAGTGTTAGGATTGTTTATTAGTGTTATGTTAAGTGTTTGTTTGGTTTACAAAAATTCATTTCCACAATCTCCACATACAGATTCTGAAGGTGGTTTCGGGTGATGTTTTGTCTATGTGTTTGATACTCTGACTCTTACTTGTTGCTTATTATTTTAAACTGCTCAAGCTCCATGTTTTGTTAAATGAATGTCTGTGAAGTTCAGAGCTGTTGAATTTGATAGTGTGCAGCGTTTGGAAAGTTTGTTTTTTTGGGAGCTTAGAGTGCTTTATTTCAGATTTTCTGTCAATTTAAAAAAAAAAAAAAAAGATTTTTTTAACCAATTTTAGTGATTTACTCTGTTTGTTCTAGGCTGGACATTAGTTGTCTTTCATTTCTCATGGCTCCTTTCCATTTCCACGTAAATCTTTAAGTAGGAAGTCTACTGTAATTTCATACACTTACTAGAGATTTAAGTTGTTAAATTGGTGCTTCACTTCTAACATCCAAACTGAACTTGTCCTATTTATTAAAGCTGTCCAATCATAGGAAATTAGCACCTGATAATGAAGTTGATTTATTTATTTAGTTTATATTTAGGTACAAATGTCATCTTGACATTGTCATGACATAGATTCCTGCAGTATATTCTGGTGTAACTGTTTTACAAAGTCAAACTAGTACTACAAGCTGATTAGTCGTAAATGTACTTGCAAGTTGACAGCCTCTGTTCAGGATTAATGTGAAAACGCTCTAATTAGAACGTGGAAATGCAACAAGATTTCGATGACTGTTGAGCATATGTGTATGGCTTGCATTGTTTATTTTTGCAATGTACATTGCAGATTGGTCTTGGTGCAAGAGACTGATGCTAAGATGTAAAATCAGCAATAGTTCAATTAGTGTTTAAAACCATCATAATTAAGCTTACAAATGATTTAAGAGTCTGTTTATTAGGGGCCATTTTTTAAGTCATTGTGAAAGACTGAAGCGTGACCATTAATCTTTGTGTGTCCTCAAACCGAAAGGGCCTCGTTTTTTCTTTCTCCCAAGTCTGTTATGATAGATGTATGTTGGGAATTGATACGGTTTCATCCAAATCTGTCAATGAACCCAATAGCAGTCAGCAAAAGGACTACTGTAAGTACAGTGTTGCTTAGTTTGGCAGCCTGAAATGTTATATTGACAAATGTACTTGCAATGTTAAAGGCCTCTAAGCAGCACAACAGCAATTATGTGCTGGATTAAGGCCTTCAAACTTGGTAGCATATATGTTTTTGTTGTCATTTTGCTTTTTATTGGTCAATTTACTTTTCAACAGACAGTGTGAGCCTAAAGAGATGTATGTTACTTTTCATCCAGTAAAATGTTTTGAGAGAAAAAAAACTTTAGTATTTCAGACTGGTTTAATGAACATGCATGCACTCACAAATTGCTCTCATATCCACCTTATTTTTCAGTGCTGAAATAAGCTATTTATTATGTGTAATTAATTAATAAAATAAAATTGCCTGACACCGAATGCCTAGCGTATTTCAGTGGCTGTGCCACTTCTATGTTAAAAATAAGACTGGGCAGCTTTTATTATTCTACATTTCTTTTCAATATAGAAGTCCACATTTGTATAAGCTTACGGTTTTCCATCTACATATTGACCTTTGCAATAAAGCTGCCATAAGAAATGTTAGCTAACTTCTGCTAGAGCCTTTTGGAAGATTTATATTGCCCCACCTCACCCTGTTTTTGCTACTGTAGCGTCTGTATATAAATTAACTCTCTTATGATTGGTCAAATTGCTGAATGCTGAATTCTAGTCATTTTAAATGGTTTTAATGTGTGTATAGTTATAACTTCTGAATGACCTGTTTGTTTGAACAAATTTTCTACCAAGTTCATATATAAAAAAGCAAATACTGATTGGGGCATTATTGCAGTGATTAATGTTTCTGACATGCCATTTTCTTTAACCCTAAATGATGCAATGTAGATTTTAATTTCTTAAACAGCCATTATGTTGTCAGTTAGGGTTAAAAGAAGTGTTGACAAACATACAACATGTCAGAAACATTAATCACTGTAATAATGATTCAGTCCTAAAATCTGAAGTGTTTGCTTATCCAGACAGTAACTTTGTTTTTGCCAGAAAGTGTATAAAATACAGTTTTTCCAAGATGTCTTCAAAAAAGGATGCATAGACTCATATCTTATCCTCTAGATGGCGTACTTTACACACTATAAGCCATTTCTTGATCACAACTTTTGATGAATGAAGGACAATACAATTTTCTTGTCTTCTCTGATAATTGTTTTCTGATATGCATTTGTATTAATGCAGACTTCTCAACTTTTTTATTACACTTTTTTATTTTTTATTCGTTTCATAGCGTTGCTAGAACCATACAACATCTGTAAATCAAGTATGGATTGTTAGCAACTTCATAAAATTCCCTATGCCTTTTCTGTTGTTGTTTTTGCTACTGAAACATAAATAATAAATCAACTCCACTAAAAAAAAAAAAAAAAGCAGTTGCCTAAAAGTTTATAGCTGTTAACAGCACTATACCCAGTTTCTATATCCCTCATGTGCTGTAAAAATGAACGTGGCTCATTTTTCCATTCATAAAAAGGCAGTGGGGAGGAGATCTGACTATTTTCATTGATAAGATCTATTTACTTGAAGGGGGAGGTATCTGGTGCTTTCCATTCACTGAGAGCGAGGGGTACTGCCCCTCCGGTGAGGCGCCACGGTGTATAAACAACCCAGTTCTATGTACTACCCTGCATGCTGAAACATAGACTTCCCTGTGTGAGCCCATCAAACTCCACCCACCATCATTTAAAGCTTTTCCTTATGTATATTCACTGCAGAGATATTAGCACCATGTTGGGTTTAGCTCTCCTTTGAATTGCAGTTATATTTATAGGATGACAGATTAATCTCTACAAATTTGCCCCGACAAAGACGTTTAGAATTACCTGGACCACATTGCCTTGAAAAGAGGATTGTTTCGGGCTGGCTGTAGCACAGTGTGCTGCAACTTTAGTGGTTATAGTCTGTAGTTTCATAGTTTGACCCCTACATTTCATCCAAAATGAGGCCCAGGGAGCTTTGGGTCATGTTGAGTGTAACTTGATGAATGAGTGCTGGACTTTGGCAGACCCATTCAAGTGTACACTCGCGTTTCCAAACATGCCCTTGTGTATTGAATGGCCACATGGACACTTGTTTGAACCGAGTGCTGTTTGCTGAACCCCTCTTTGGGTTGTGTAGTCATCCTTTATTTGCTGTTTGCGAGCTTTTGTGGCCTGCGTGGAACAGACCTAATGCAAACTGTCCTATTTCTTTTTATATATCTCTTTTATATTTCTCCTAAGGCAAGACTCCTTGATTAATCACAGCACATCGAAATGACTGTTTTGAATTCCTTTTTAAAAAAAAAATGTTTAATAAAATGTGCAAATGAGGCACGATGTAACTGCATATGCACTGATTTGCACACAATCTGAACGCTAGTTCAAAACTTGTTTTTTTTTAATGTCATTGTTTTTTATGTCATTATGCTGGCATATTAGATATTTAGTTATATATGTCAGGGCAAATGATATATGTTCAAACCATTTTGTAAAAACTGTCAAGTTTGGTGTATGTAAGTGCTAATGAAGTGCCGATTTCTGGCTCAGTGCATTAAAAAAGCCCATTTATATATAAAAAGGCATAAATCTATCTTTATCAAATAGATCAAGTTCAATAAAATAAATACTTATAAAGGACTTTAAAGATATGAATTATTATTTAAATCTATCTTTATCAAATAGATAAAGTTCAATACAATAATTACCTAAACATGTATTTTTGTTGTTTTTCCTAGTCTGAAACAAAACATGCCCAAGACCTTAAAACTGACAAGTGCAAAAAAATAAATGCAAATTTAATATATGTATTTATGCGTTTATCTACTGCTATGATTTTATTTTATTTGTCCTTTTTGGGGTTTGTCAGGTCACTTGAAAAACTGTGTATGTTCCACAGGATTGCTTGATTTATTTTTATTAATGAATTCATTTTTCTTTTTAATAAAGTGTTTATAAGTAAAAGACAGAATTTTTATTTATTTACTTTACAGAAATGTCCCTTTATGAGAATACTTATGAGATTGCTTTATTAAGAATACCTTCATGATTCATTACATACAAGCCTCTATAGCTTTTTTTTCTAGAATGTTAATGTTAAGGGGAAAAAAAATCATAATTATTTTGAATGTTTTAACTCTCATGGATGGTGTACAGTATATGTGTTTGGGTGTGTGGACAGTCAGGATTCAGGAAATAGGGGTTGGGGGTTTGCTCATGGGTGAAGAGAGAGAGTGTTGTGGAGGGGAATGTGGGCGGCAGGAGGCTGTGTTCTCTGTTTGGCCTCTCACAGTTTCAGGGGGTTATTGTCTAGGATGGAGACATCCGGAGGTCAATGCCTCAAACCCTGTGTGAGGCAGGGAACAAAACAGCCCTGTATAAGAACAGACCAAATGGGAATCACAGGTGGCAGGAATGGGCTACATCTATATGGAAATGAGCTCACTGTTCTCAGCGTCCCTCTGCAGCCAGTGCTAATTTGCTTGATGCGCTGCTGGCCTCTTATTTTCACATGGGAGGTGAGCTGTTGGGTGGATCTCACAAAAAGTGAAAATTTCCAGGTCCAGCTATTTTTTGTAACTGCTATTATTATTAATTTAGTTTTTAAAAACCGATTTACATAGCATAAATTAATACCAAATACAGCCATTATAAATACTTTTATTATGTATTAAATACATTAAATACCTTTACTTTAAAAATACATTTAATAAATATATAAATAAATATTATAAAAAGGTCAAGACTATGACTTCTCCATAATTCTCATTTAATATTTTAATAAATAATGGATAATATTAATATAATAATATTTTTTAGCTAAATAAAATGGACAAATACCTCACTTTCCAACAAGA